CCATCAGGCGCTATATGGAGCCGTTTCCAAATGATATGACGTCACGGGAGGTCGTTGACTGTGGAAGGAAAAGCGGCACAAGTCGGTCACGGAAAACTGGGGCAACAGCACAATGACGTTTGCCATTAATAGCACGAACGAAAACCGACGGCTCGATAAACGCAAACGGGAGACGTACCCGATAGGTGTTTTTAAAATCCGAGGCAAGTTACGATTGGTTACTGGTAGTTGGTATAACTTGCTTACGGTCTTTAGTTTTGGAAGATATCAGCAGAAATGCACAACACTTTTATATTCTACAAAATGTCTAGAAGTTCGAGAAATATTGCTTGAGAAGTCTGGAGAAGATAAAATGAACTTACAAAGTAACAAAGAAATGGAAATGAACAGTACCAGAACGTATATGGTTTTGAAATTAAAGAAAAAATATATTGAACCTATATTTGAAAAAGACGTAAATGGTTAACAGGAGGAGGACGACAAAGATTGTCGAAATGGATGACTTGTGTGAGAAGAGAAAATATATGGCATAAAAATATATAATAGAAAGCTTAGGCTCAAGGCAAGGAACATGTTAGTAATTTTTTTCTTTTTTATATATCTGCACCTATTTCTTCATGAAACATAAGCAAATTCTTTAGTAGCACTCGGAATACCTAAATCGGATGCCAATTCATTGATTGGGCATGCAGGTATGATGGTGTCCTGTTTTGCTGTTATGTTTCCGAGAGTAGTCGCTTTCGCTTCGGTCGTTCATTCATGACAGCCTTTAGAAGGTGTTTAATGCATGGATTTTTGGGTGGTCTACGATTCTCTTTTTATAATTGTTGCTATATATCTGGAATTCCACATATACTGTCAATTCATATTTTGGGGCATTTACTATTTCTTTCAAAGTTTACTTTGGAATCTTTGGATAATTGTGATATTTGATATATTAGATGTATCCCATAATTGGATTGCGCGAAAACAGAAGATTGGGAGGTAAAATAAATGATACAAAATAAATAAAAACTCATACTATGAACCTACTTTTGGAAAGAGTAGTAATACAAGAAATATAATTTCATGTATTACCACAATACAAGAAATATAATTTCATGCGTTTTAATAAAATCTCCTGGTTGATATTTTATTGCACAAATGTTGTTAACTGCATAAACATTAAATGTTATAAATTTCTTGGAACAAAGCTCAGGAATTGTTTTTTTTAGATTTAGCCACATACATAATATACAATACATAGCTAGCATATATATTATATTAATCACTTACATCTTAATTTTACTATCATTAACAAACCTAATTATGTAAGGGTAACAATTCAAATTTTGCAATAATGTTGTCAGATTGAAGGGTTTGATCGGTATTTTTATAGAGCGCAGTTTCTCTAACAATTTAGCCCTGCTTGCCTCAAATAATACTACATTCTAGTATGATGTGTTCAGATTCCCAGGAATTGTTGAAACACAAATTATTTAATGTATTATGAAAGACTAAATCTAAAATAAGTATTATCTTTTAATTTCCCATGGGTTAGGTAATTATAATCGTTCAAGAATCAAAAATTGATTTTTTTGCATATCTTCGCGTTTTGAAGGTTTCTGAACATTTTGGTATACCTTAAAAAAAATGGATGTATGTGTATGTATGGATACAATTACGATAATACAATTTGAATGATTCAAAATATTTCTCCTTGTTACGGCGGTATGGTCGTTTTTTGGAATTTTCTTTTATTTCAAAATTAGATTAAAAATTTTTTTTGAATATCAAAAATAATTTGGATTTTAAATTTAATTTTAGCCAAAGATCTGAAGTTCACATATACTAAAACTAAATAATTTTAACTTCGTAATTTAGTTTACATAATTCTCATAAATATTAGACAATGTCCTTCATTTTAAATCCGATGGATTAAGTTTTATTTATTTACTTTTTATGTAATTATATTAACGTCATCGTATGATTTATAACCAATAAGGCATACGAGCATTTATTTTACAATTTAATACATAATATAAAACTAATTACTGTAAATAACATAAATTAAAAAACGTAACAATAACTATAATAATGATCAAGACATATATGATGAATTGTAAATTTTAAGTAGTTTTGCATTTTCAATGATGACTTATTGAAATATATTTATTTGCACTTAAGAAATTAATTTTGCACATTTTTGTTTCAAAAGACATGATTAAAAAATGCAGAATTACTACTTTATATTTTCATATAAATTTATTATACAAGATTAAATATATGTAAAAAGCAACTTACTCCTTGTTCTATGTTTTAAATATTATGATAGGGCCTCTCTTTGTGTACAAATAGTGGTTTCGCCCTGCTAATACTTTTATCAAATTCCAAGGTATAAGAATCTGAATAATTGTAAAATTCATGCAATTCCTTCATATAAATTTTAAATATTTCGACATGACTCCTAATTTGTCTAATAAGATTGGTCCTAATATATCTGCAAGTGCTGGTGCTTGCCGAAGATGTGCACAATCTTGCGCAACTCTCTCAATAGACTCATGTAGAAAAATAAATATATTAATAATACAATTACATACAATTAATATATTAATTAAAAAAGAAAACATGGTACTAAATTCAATTTTGTAATAAAATCATTGCAAATTATGGACTAATATGGACATTTTTACAAATAAAGGTATTTTTAATGTAATTAGGATTTTATGAATGGCTTCATTAGTCACATATTTATGGGCATTTAGTATTATCTTTGCTTCTCTATATACAAATAATATATTAGACAAAAAAATTAACTAATTTATTTATTTTCAGGATATGGATGTTATGATCCAGAACAAGTGAACAAGGGACACTAAAGTAGTGATATTGAATAAATATAATTGGACTTTTGAGTCGTTTTGTGGATTAAAAAGTGTTTTATTTGTGTTAAGTATTCTGCCAAATTTTGCAACTATGTTTGGCCAGGAAGACTACGAATTTTATTGAGGTTCTAATTTTGCTAGATGTTTGGCCAGGAAGACCACGAATTTTATTGAGGTTCTAATTTTGCTAGATGTTTGGAAATACAGATCAGAAGGACAGATTTAGATGGAAATTTGCATTGAAAAAGATCTCTTAGTTGACGTTAGTAATTAGTGTTGAAGAGTGTTTTTAAAAAGACAAATATTTGCTTGTGATGAAACAATTTGCCTGGTTTGACTCGTAGTGATTGTTTTTCTCGATTTTTAAGCTATTTTTAAATTCGAATTTTTTGTCATTTTTTAGTGTTTGTCTAGTGTTTTATAAAGGCCTTTATAGTTCATATTCTAGTGCAGTGATAGTGTATTGTTCCTGGTTCCTGGTTCCTGGTTCCGGGTTCCGGGTTCCTGGTCAGCTCTCTTCTGGAAATCACGAGGTAATGATTTTTAGCACGTATCTATATTTCATAATATATTGAATAAAAAATGTTTCAATTTGTTTGTTTTAGACAACAAATTGGTAATCGGGATGTTCCAGAAGAATCGGTGATTTTAAACAAAGGTCAGTGCATTTTCATTCCTAGGCATTATTTCTAAGGGTGCAGTCACACGTCTCGTTGCGCGTTCACAAAAAACAGTAAACTAGGTTATAGTTAAGAATTTGTCAAATAGTTATATAATTAACTAATAATATAATTAATATTTTTTTTAGTGCAGGGTCAATTGTGACCGTACCCTTTACTAATCCACAAATTTCTTTCAGCCTAATAAAATACTTTTTAAAATTGAAGTGAGTGTAGTAGCTAATAAAACTCGCGTAAATTAATTAATCATTAAAAAAAGAGTGCTAATTAAATAAATTTTGCATAATTTCGCGTAAAACAAAGTGTGCGTGAGTGGACAATTTGACTCTCTGCAATTTTGCGAAGAAATGCCGACATCCATGCAGCCTGAGGTAAGATCAAGTATATATACAAGATTTTATTGATTTTAAAAATGAGTACAAATATTGTTTACATTCCTGTGGGTTCCATATCAATGTTTATCCGTAGACAACGACACGTCGCTTTCGCGCTTCTATATTTCGTCTCTACGCAGCCAACACAGCGCGATTGCTTTGAAATAAGTTCAAAATTTACAAAAAAAATAAAAAATTCATAAAAAATGAAATCATTCAAAATATAAAAATATAATTTTTCCAAAAGTTTTAAGGCTTTTTAAAAAACCTAATTTTTAGTATGGGAAGTTTCAGTTTGGCTTAAGGCATAACAACTAGTGCAAATGCACAACTAGTTCAAATTAGTTGTCATATATACTGCTAGTATTAAAATAAATAAGTCATCGAATTTATTCCGAGTTTTTGTAATTATTATGTTTTCACTGTAATTTGCTCTTTCTTGAAAGATTACAGTAAAGAGTTCCTTATTTTCTTAGTTAGTAGAAGTACTTAAAATATTAGCTTTGGTTTATTTTGCAGTTAACAATTCATTTTGTTCAACTAGATATTATTAGATTAAATTACAAATATTATTGGTAAAATCTTTTTTGTGCATTTTAGGCACAAATAGAAAGTTGAATACGATTTATTAAAATATTAATAATATTATTGGTAATCACTATTTACAACTTATACTATAATATCAAAATAGTTTGATGAAAAGTTATTCTGTTTGAAGTATAAAATTATAATTACAATTTAACTATTTACGTAGCTATAGGCATAATGATTGTAAAATGAAGGCTGCTCTTAAAAAAATTTAATGATTTATAATATATAAATCTAATTTATTTGCTTAAGCGTTAGCTCATATTTGTCATTAATAACGTTTTAAATTATTTGTGAATGACTTAAAAATGATTTTAAAATGAAGTTAAAAATAATAATACTCATTATATATTTAGTTTTTTGAATAAATATGAAAACTATTCTATAGATCAAGAGGAGATCAGCTTCTTTTATCTGAAATAAATTCGAATGTTTAAAAATATGTTAAAAAATTATTACATTTATGAATAATCAATTTCATACCTTACACGAAGTCAAATACTATTTAATGAGCTATTGTCATGTCCATCATTATCATATTCGAAGCATTCGTCATCAAACTGCGAGTTAATAATAATTGGATCTGCAAAATAGACAAATGAAGAAGCTTTTATAAGAAAATAACAAAATGATGAAGCTTCAAATATGCATTCTTACTTAGCGATTGTCGTGAGATACTGTTATCTATCCTGTAATGATTTGATCTAGATCTGAAAAATATTACAGCTCCAGTTATCAAAATCAGAATTGTTAACGCCAGCGCACATAACGCTATTATCCAAGGAAGATGTAGTGGTCCAGCCATCATAACGTATGGGTTTGTATCATTGTTACTGATTCCATGAGCATGTATTAGTTGACAGGAATTATTATCTGTTTTTAAGTATCCTTCATAACAGTCGCAAATTCCAGGACTGACACAAACTCCATTTATACATTCAGGACTGCATTCTGGAATACAAGTGATCTCTTTATATGAAAAAGTAAATCCTTCGTCACAAGTGCAACTTTCAGGTTCTGTACAAGTGCCATTGCCACAAGACTTGCTACAAACAGGTGTACATGATATTGTACTATCATTATCGAATATGTATCCCTCTAAACATGTGCATATTTCGGGTGAAGTGCAGTCAGCGTTAATACAACCTTGTGTGCACATAGGAGCACATATATTTGTGGAATTTTCTACAAATTCGTAACCACTAATACAAACACAAGTGTCAGGTGCTATGCAGAAACCATTAATGCAGTTTTCTGTACATTTTGGTTTACAGACACTGGTACTTCCTTCGGCAAACATGAAACCTGACAAGCAAGTGCAAAAATCAGGAGCTGTACAAGTTGCATTAATGCATTGGTTTTTACAAACTGGTTGACAAGTTTGAGAATCATCCAAAATACTAAAGCCCTTCTCGCAAGTGCATTGGTTAGGAGCAGTGCACTTCGAATTAACGCAAGGTGTTATACATTCAGGTTCGCAAATACTTGTGCTGTTATCGGAAAATTTATATCCTACATTACATTGACAAGAATCAGGTGCCACACATTTTCCATTCACACATTCGTTAAGACATATTGGAATGCATGTGGTTTTCGAAGCTGCTTCAAAAACATACCCCGTGTTACATGTACACTGATTAGGAGATGTGCATAATCCGTTAGTGCAAGGACTTTCGCAAATTGGTTCACAGATATTCCAACTTGTGTTTAAATGCATGTAGCCGTCTAAGCAATTGCAATAATTTGGTTCGGTACATTTGGAATTTATGCAACTCAGTGTACATACTGGATTACATGTAAAATTAGAGCCAACTGCTAAATCATAGTTCTCGAAGCATTTACATTGATTCGGAGATATGCAAAAACCGTTTTCACATAATGGTTCACATACAGGTTCACAGATGTGTTTACTATTTGCTCTAAAACTATATCCATCGTTGCAACTACATATGTCTGGAGCTGTACATTTACCATTTTCGCAGGGAAGTGAACAAATGGGTTGACATATAGATGTATTGTTTAACTCATAACCGGCAAAACATTCGCATGTATTTGGTCCAACGCACAATCCATTTTCACAAGGTGGATCACATTTGGGAACACAGTATGATATGTTATGCCCTTGTTGATATCCTTCATTACATGAACAAGTTTCAGGAGCTATGCAATTCCCTTCTACACCCTCACAGCCAGTACAGATAGGATCACATATGTATTGAGATGTCTTATTATACCCTTCATTGCAAGTACATATTTCTGGAGAGGAACACCACCCATTGGCACATTGTGAACTACATTTGGGAACACAAATATTAGAACTATTGTCATGTTTCACAAATCCATCATGGCATGTGCATGTTTCTGGTGCAGAACACACACCGTTTACACATTCGGAGGTACAAATAGGTGAACACACATTATTTTCAGAAGAGCGATTGTACCCTGGAAAGCACACACATTCATTTGGATTCACACAAACTCCATTTTGGCAAGAAGGAGAACATACAGGACGGCAAGCATTGGAGGAATTAGTTTCCAATGCGTATCCAGTGAAACATTTGCAAACATTTGGCTCTATGCAAATTCCATTTTCGCATGATGGTGAACAAATCGGATAGCATATATGGCTACTACTTTCTCCGATTCCGTACCCTTCGTTGCAAGTGCAAGAATCTGGAGCAGTACATTTTCCGTTTTGGCATTCGATAGTACAAATCGGTTCGCAAATTTCGGTGCTATTTCCAGATAATTGATATCCTGGATTACAAGTGCATTGATTAGGTGCAGTGCATTTACCGTTCGTGCAACTAGTTCGACATATTGGCTCGCATTTTGATAGATCTCCATTGGAGTGTTGATAACCTTCATTGCACGAACAAACTTCGGGATTCGTGCAAATGCCAGATTCTGGTGAGCACGATTCACAATGTGGGGTGCACGAAAAAGGTGTAGACTTCTCATAACCTTGTTTGCACGTGCACAAATTGGGTTCCGTACAGGTACTGTTCACACATTCCTTGTTACATACCGGAAAACATTCTCCTTCAATTTCTTTGTAGCCAACGCAACATTTTTCGATTTTTATTTGTTCGATGTAATTCTGAAAACAGATGTTATCAAATAAATATCTCTTACACTAACATTGGATAACAATTTAGAATAGTCTGAACTAACCTTAAACTTGAAAATATTTTCACAAAATTTAAATTATTTATATAAAATGGAAAAATATGCACGCATAAATAATAATTATTTTCATGCAATTTTTAATGTTTTTACGATTACCTCTATTCTAAATTTTGTCGCTTGTTTACTTCTGTATCTTGTACAAGTAAATATTCCTCGACATCGCACTTTATACGGCTCTCTATATACGTGTTGATATGGAACTCTTCTAGTTACATTTCTCCTAAAAAATTTATATAATAAAAAATTATAAATTATTCACAACGTCATATTAACTGTTACAATTTTTATTACTCGATCTTGTTATTGTACAGACTAATTTATATCTTAGCACAATGTATTATATAATAATTGAAGTGTTAGAATATTTTTTGTTCAAATTGTTTTATTTATTTCGTATTAATTAATTTCGTATTAATATTATTTTGAACTATATTATCCTCTTATTAACTGCCCTTTTTGCACTTTTTGCTCCGTATCTTCAAAACGGCTGGACCTGTCTTAGCCAAAAACTATTTTGCATGTCTCCCTATCAAGGAATCAAATGTTTTTTGAATAATTCAAATTGGTTGATCAGTGCTGCCAAAAACGCGGACGTAATTTTGTATCCACAAACACACACACATGTATACAACCATTTTTTCTAAGGTTCAGAAACCACTGAAACATTAAGATATGAAAAATTTTCATTTTTGATTTTTGGCCGATTATTATATCGTAAGTTATAGTAACTTAAAAATAATACTATACATCTATTAACTACCCTACGGGAAGTTAATAGATGTGTAGTATTATTTTTTTCATTTAGAAAATAGCACTATCTTATTCATATTATTTTATTGATTTAATAGTAATTACTATATATGACGTATATAAATTATGACTTATAGTTAGTTTTATTTTATAGAAATAATATTTAATAAGTTCTTTTTTACGATAAATATACTAAAATTCGTATTAACATAAACAACATTTATATTGGACTTTGAAGCATCTCAAAAGATTTTGAAAATACTGTTGATCGATTTCTGTATTATTTTTGTTAAGTGATTATTTTTGCTAAGCCTTGGCAGATTTTTTAATGCAACATTGTTTATAATATAATAATTGAATATTATTTTTATAAAATAACATTTAATCAAAACAGAAATGCACAATTAAAAACAGACATATCTTGTATTAATGCACAAAATAATGATACTAATGCAACAACTTTTGATACATCGTAAGTAAAAATTTGAAATTATTTTACTTTATTTCTCAAGATTTAATTAAATCTTTCTTTATATAACAAAAACATTTAGTATTTTTTAAAGAGTGTTATGAGTTTTATTTCAATTTATTCAATATTTTATGCTAATGTTTGATCAATTTGCTCAATCTTTACAAATTGTGTTTAGTGAACATCTTTTGTACATGATATTGGAATTTAAATATTCTCTTAACTCACTTACTTAAATATGGGATCTAGATTTTATTACTAACTTATTAACTTTCTATAGGGTAAATTATACCAATCAAAAAAAAATTGAAAATAAAAATGTTTACATATCTTTACATTTCAGAAGTTTCTAAATATTTTGGTATACCTTAGGAAAAATAGAAATATGTGTTTGTGAGTCGAAATTTTTGTCAACGTCAAAAAACATTCAATTTCTATTGATAAGGAGACGTGCTGATTGATTTTTGGACAAGACAGGTTTAGCCGTTTTGTAGATACTGGGCAAAAAGTGCCAAAAACGGTAACTCAGTTTCCAAGAGAACGGAGCGTCCAATTTTAATAATCCATAAAACATTTCATTTGTATTGACAAAATGAAGAACTAATTAAATTTTTGGAAGGCAGAGTTAGCAGTTTCAAAGATCGAGTAAAAGAAGTAAAAAAATGCCATTTGGCGGTCAAAACTGATCGTTAGACATGCACATAAAATTATCAGATATTTTATAGAGATTTTGATAATAAGTATTTTTGTTAAATACTTGTCCGTTAGACAGCGATGCGGCGTTTACGCGCTCCCATTTTATGTGTCTATGAAACTAAATCAGTGCGATTGCTTTTAAAAAAAGTTCAAAAATTCCAAAATATTTCAAAATATTAAACTTTTTTTTAAGTTTTTTTTTCAAGAATTTAAAAGTTCTCAAAAATATTTTGTTTTCAAAGTATAAAAAAAATTTAATCTTTTAAACAATTTTTTTGGTCCGGGTAGTTCCAACAATTTGCTTTAAAGCATGATGCCATTCACCACTAGTTTTTCTTCATTAAATAGCTATTACTTATTACGACTTATGTAAAAAGTAAGAACAAAAACAAATGTTAACTACTATTAGGCAGGAAATTATTTAACATCTTTGTCTTTGTTTGCTTGCTACATATTTCTATATAATTCTTCTACTTACGGTTCGTATGTCGTACACCATTTTCCTTCCACGGGGTAAACAAAATAAACACTAATCACAACGGTGGCCCAGAATAAAACCCGAATTGGGGTCATATTGAATTTCATAGATCACTTTGTTGTGTACACAATGTATTTAACTGGACAGACATCACGAATGAAATGAATTTATCAGAACTTCGAACGGAAACCGTTTGCTCCGATTAAAACTCGGCGCCTTATCTCGTTCCGCATAAATCATATGTTAAGTTAAGCAGATGCGTACAATGACTACTGTAGAATTTGCAATTTTATTTAATATTATTATATATGCATATTGTTCAATATCATCCAGAGTCCTAACGTGAAATTACACGAATAATTATAACGAATTTATTGGACATTTAGAAGCTGAATGCGCTACATCATTCCTTACTTTAAAACTTGCAATTTATTGTTAGATTTGCATTGAAGTTAAATTTAAATTCATTAACTTCCCTTAGGGCAAGTTATTGTATTCGTCCAAAAATCGAAATTGAAAATTTAAAGGTTTCTGAACATTTTGGCATACCTTGGAAAAAATGTTTACGTTTTCGAGCGCACGGATCAATCGATTTGAATGGTTCAAAAAACATTTAAATTCTATTAATAGGGAGACGTGCTGATCAGTTTTTGGTAAAGACAAGTCCAGCCATTTTGGAGATACGGAGCTAAATGTGCAAAAAATGACAGTTTTTTTAGAACTAAGCATTTGATTTGAATGATTTAAAAAACAGTATGCTTGTGTTAACGAAAGAATTGCTACTGTTTTTTTTTTTATTTCAAAATTTATTTTTTTACCAAAAATTTTGTTTTGTTTTTTTCTATTCAATTTTTCAATTCTGGCTAAAGTTCTAAAGTTTCTCTTCACTTATATGCAATAAATAAATAATTTTAACTTTGCAATTCAATTTATACAATTCTTATAAATATTAGACTATATCTTTCATTTTAAATCCGAGTTTTGTTTATTTACTTTTCTGTAATACATATATAAACGCCGTCGTCCAACTCATAAACTTTTATATTTTATATTGTGTCTATAAAATAAGACTAATTAAGGTTACAACATTTATAATAATTTATTTGAAAACATTTAATTTTTTTTTTAATTTTTCGTTACCGTACGGAAAGTTCCAGCAATTTACCTTAAGGCACGATGCCATACCTCACTAATTTCTAATTAAGATTAACACTTTTCTAATTTTGTTTGTCTCATCTGATAAAACGCAGTTGGTCAATGATGGAATATGCATCTGATATCTAATGTACTAGTTTATAAAGCCAATAAATCATATATAAAAAAAAATGACCAACACTTTCGAATTAGTTGATTTTTCTACGAATACATTTTTATTTTTATTATATATGATTTTGCTACAAAATTAAACATACATACATTTGTTCACAAATAATACACATGATTAATTATTATTAAGCAATTTAGAATTCAGTAATATCGTGTTTTTGAGTCTGACTAAAACATTCCTCAACGAAGGGCAACCCTTATCGTCGAAACGTCTACATTCTCTATTGAAAATAGATGTAAAATAATAAATGTAATGAAAGTATATGCAAAATTCCATGTCATCTTCAATGGATTGGATATACATTTTCTCAGTAATTCAATAAAGAGTTCGAATATTGTTGGAAATCATCTTTCAGTACTCTTCAAAATTTATTTCAAAAGTTATTACTGGTGCATAGCTGGGCATTAACTCGTTAATCCGTTAATCGTTAATTAACGAAGTTAACATTTTGATTAACGGATTAACTTTTAAGTTAACTTTTGAAAATGTTAACGGACACGTTAACTTCCGTTAAAATGCCAGAAGTCCGTTAATCGTTAATCCAATGCCCAGGACCGTGCCTGGCCAGCGTGCAGTGCGTGCACCGCACGCAGGCGGCCGCCTTTTGAGACGGCCGAGGGGCGGCCAAATGAAAAAAAAAACAAATTCAAAGACGGCCATAACAAAAAATGGTCGAAATAAATAGCTGTTGCATTAAAAGTCTACTGAATTAAAAGGCGGCCAAATTAAAAGACTGTTGGATTAAGAGGCGGCCAAGCTCAAAGTCCGCTGAACTCCTTCGCTGCCGTAAAGTCCGCTGTATATATCTAAAAGACCAAAATTACCGTAGTAAAAATCAGCCAAAGGCGGCCCTATTGAATGCGACTCTGTTTCTGAATAATTTATAAGTTATAAACTTGGTGTAAGTGGCAACTTTGCCTAAATCAAGTTGCATGAAGTATCCAACATGTGTTAATAATCGACTTAACAATAAAAATATATTAATTCATGAGTACATTGCAATGTGAAAAACTATCGCAGATTATTCAATTTTGTACAAATTTTCTAAAAATATTAGTTATGTTTTATAAATAGTTTAAAAATTACATATTATTGAACAAGAAACAAACTGTAGTAAATTAAAAACAAGATCCAAATTTCCAAAGCAATTTGTTAATCAATAACTGAAAAACGACTCGTCGATTATTGACAAAATTTAATCAGCAAGATTCTCAAATGGAAAACGTTTGTAATGGTTTTTGAATTTTTAAAATCAATTCACTAATTAAAAATTTGAGACTTTTTTGAAAATTCTAAAGGCAAAACTAAGCAGCACGAGTGCTTATCGAATTTACGAATTTTGACGATTTTTCAAATGGGATTGTGCATTTTTGAGAAAAGGTCCACTAAAGATTAGTATAGTACAGATTTTAAAAATTAAAATGACTTAATGTGGGTCGAAATATTTAGTTATCTTAGAGACCATGATCACTATCACCAAAAAAGTTTTATAAATATCATCGTAAAGCAATATTCACCAATTAAACACGAAGAAACGAACCGACCGATCTCTTAGAAGTAATCAGCACGATTCCTAAATGATATCTTTCAAACAGTTCCTGAATTTTTAAAATCGATGCAGAATTTTTGGCTAAAACGTGTACAATAAATTTCATATTTTTCTGTTGATTAGAAACAGCTTGGCCGATCGTCGCACAAAACTGACAGGCGCTAGTCATTATCTAGTTACATCAAATGACTTTTAAACTTTTGAATTGGATTTAACCGTTTTTGAGAAAACGTTGCCGAAAATTCAAAAATCGGCTTTCAAACGATTCAGAATGACTTAAAATGTCGAGAAAACTTGAAAATTACAATACGATTTTTTTCGTGAAAACATATTGGATATTTTCCTATTATGCTATTTTTAAGGGCGGCCATTTATATGCTCGCACGCAGGCGGCCACATACCCAGGCACGGCCCTGCCAATTATTACTATTTACCGCACGGCACAGCTTTAGCCAATGCCTTATAAAATGACATAGAGAAAAGATTTGGACCACTCGTGAATGATGAACAGTGCCAACATGTTCAAAAGACTTGTTCAACGATGCTGCATTCCTCGGGGAACAGATATTCATAAATCAATTTATTAAATATAATACTGCTATACCCTCAAGCGCTGCAGTTGAACGTTTGTTTTCCACGGGTAAAGACATTTTGACACCAAAACGAGCCTCGCTTTCAGACGAGAACTTCTACATGTTAATGTTCATGAAGAGAAATATGCACCTAATACCGGACGCTTAACCCGTCGCGCGTTTCCTATTTTTCGCAAAAAAACTCTTTCCCTTTATTTAGAAAAAAATTCTTGTAAAAACAATATGCAATCATAAAAACAGAAAGTTGACCAATAGCGTCGCGCCATTAAGGGGTTGAATTACACATTTGAATTATACAAGTATTTTGTTTTATTCATAACCTGTTAACTTCCAGAACCTAAACCAATAAGTTTTTTAAGTTCACTAACGCAACAATATAAAAATGTAATTTTACACATATTAACGGATTAACGATTAACGTTAACTTGCGTTAATTATTCCGAAATGTAACGCTTTAACGTTTAACGAAGCTAACTTTTTTTGTAGCGGATTAACGATTAACGAAGTTAACTTTTTGATTAACGGTGCCCAGCTATGCTGGTGATTTCAGAGTTACGTGCAAATCTTATAACTATTAGATTATTGTACGTTGTAATTATATAATATAAAAAAAATATATATACATTGTTGACGACGTTGATTTTATGAGGAAACGTATGGGATGACAAATATCATTTAAAATCTTTACATTTATCTTTTTTTATTTGATGTAATTTCCCCCAAGAATTTTTTCATGCATTTCAAGATCAAAATCAACTACTTTTAATACACTCACACATATACATAATAATGTTAGATATTTATTGAGAGATGAACTACAAGTTTTCAGACAGATTGTTGTTTTCCTGGATCAATATACCAATAATTTGCTGTATCCTATAACATCATTATTGTTTTTTTTATGTTTGATTGATTGAATTTTGAAGGACCAATTTGTTGTAAAATACTTTGATTATAGCTTTATGTATTTATTTTATAATAATTACAAATTATAATTGTATTTACAATAATTTCAGTGTGTTTTCAATATCGTATTGATTGATTTTTTATATGATTTTGGATTGATGATTTTTTGTATGTATCAATATATCGGCTACTTCGATTTGGCGCGAACAATTAATATGCGAGTTATGTATGACTATACGACTATACAAAAATATATTAAAACACCAAAATTATTAAAATTTAGTTTTATTAATTATAATAATTTGTTTTTTATAACCAAAAACGAAAATAAAATCTACAGTAAATTGAACAATTTTTCTAAACTACTACATTAATATATATTTAACTATAATACTATTTAAAATAAAACATAAAAAATATCTCGAAAATGCCACTTAGCTTATCTAATATCAAATTGATTTGCTTTATTATTTTGTTTATGGCCTTCTAATGCAAACCTGACTTCCCTTCACCCTGCGATCCTTTACGAAACCAACGTTGCAGATGCAGAAGTTTGGTCCAGAACATACTCCATTTGGGCAACCATTGGGACAATGACCAATGCATCTGGAATAATAAAAATAATAATTTCCAAAAATGCACTTAAACTAAAAAAGCAAATTGATTGAAGTCGAAAATTACAAATTAAGTGGACAATATATGGATCAGATGTTTTTGAAAACATTTTGGTTGTTGTTTGGACGAATTACTTTTTTATTATCATTATACAATAACATTTATCTTAATCATTGATGGAGATTTGTAAAATTAATTTTCTCTCAACCTGGCCCTGGTAGTGTTTTGACGGAGTTTTATGCAAGTGAAAGCACAGATCAACCGACTTGAGAGCCGAAAAAACTTTCGATTCCTATTGATGGGGAGACATGCTGTATAGTTTTTGGCATAGGCAGGTTCATCCGTTTCAAAAATACGTGGAAAAGCCGTTTTCAGTTTTTGGAGAACGGAGCGTCCGATTTGAATGACTCAATAAACAATTATGTATCATGAATTGACGAAATGAAGAACTAATAAAATTTTTGTCTAGGTCGAGGATTTGCGATTTCGTAAATCTAATAAAAAAAGAAAAAATGCATTGGCGGTCAAAATGATTATTAAGCATATGCACATCTAACTATTAGATATTTTATAGAGATTTCATTATTGAGTACAAATATTGTTGCTATCTCTAGTACCAAGATTTGTAATGTTTAACCGTTAGACTGCTTACGAGCTTCTATATTCAAAATTTAAAAAATGTTGAATTCCAAATAGATTTAGAAAAGTTTTATTTTTTTCAAAATTCTCTAATCTAATTTATAGTTTTCAAAAAAATTTAATGCTTTTGAAAATTTTAAATTACGATACGGTAAGTACCAGCAATTTATCTCAAGGCACAATGCCAAGAACCAGTAGTTTCTGTCTTTGTTGTTGTAAATAGATATAGAATATAAATAGTTGTAAATAGATAAATAATACAAAAAAAGTTGGAGTACACTAACTTAGGATTTTTATTAGTATTATTAACTTCCCGAAGGAGAAGTTTATGTTTTCATCAAAAAATCCGATTCGCTAATTTTATGTTTTCTCGACGTTTCAAGCCATTCTGAGTCGAATGAGACCAAATTTGGAAAAAATATGTGTGTGTGTATGTAAACAGATTTTTTGCCGTAAATCGACGTTTTCTCAAAAACAGCTGGGCCGATTTCAAAAATTTAAAAGCCATTCGATGTATCTCGGCGAGGACTATCGTTTGTCAGTTTTGTGGGACGATCGGCCGAGACGTTTCTTTATAAATGGCAGAAAAGTGAAAAAATTTTTGTCTACGCAATTAGCCCGCAATTCTGAACCGATTATGAAAGATCGGCCGAGCCATTTTCTTGTAATAAAGTGTTTAAAAAAGTTTTGTTGACGATTTTTATTATTATTTTTTGACAGTAGATTGGTAGACTACGACAATTGGTTTAACTTCGAAAATTCGTCAAAGTTTGCAAAAATTGGTATCGTTTTTTTGGCATTTGTCAAAATTAGACCTTTCATCGATGTTTTCTCAATAACGCCTGAACCGATTTCAGAAATTTAAAAGCCATTTGATGTATTTCGATGAGGACTATCGTTTGTCAGTTTTGTGCGACGATCTGCCAAGCCGTTTTTTGTAATTTGAAAGAAGTGTTAAACTTTTCGTCCATATTTAAGCTCATCCTACCGAACCGATTTTAATAATAAAAAACTGTTCGAAAGATATTAGTTGGGAATGGTACTGATTAGTTTTAGGTGAAAATCTACCGAGTCGTTTTCTTGTAATTAGCTGTTGAACAAAAAATTTAAGGCGATTTTTATGGAACTTTTTTTGGCCATATTTATCATGGTCTTATAGAACTTACTAAAATATTACGGCCTTACGACAAGTAGTTTAATTTTAAAAATTCATCAATGTTTGAGAAAATGAGTAGTTTTTTTTGACGTTAGCTAAAATTAAAATTGAACGATTCACTTGGTATAACAATATAGTACTTGGTCTTAATAAACAAACTAAACTATTAAAATCCTACGGAAACTGGTTCAAAATATATTAATTGTTGAAAAAAAAATTTTGAAAAGTTGCTTTTTGAAAATACTCCGAGTTAACGGAGTAATTCTCTCGGAATACTTCTAATCACTCATAAATAAATTTGTTTATTATTGATTAGGTCGATTATTCAAACATATCGGGAAGTTCATGTAACTTGCCTCAAGGCTAAATACCAAACCAACTAGTTTTAGTATATAAATTGTTGTAAATAGATAAATAATACAAAAAAAGTTAAAATACACTAATTTCGTATTTTTTAGTTATTTATTACCAAAAGAGGTCAACGTTGCTTCCATGGTATTTGTGAGAACCTTTTCTCTACAACGATTTGCGTGCGAGACACCATTCACGTCAAATCAACAATGATATTCTCTTCTTCTCCGAGAGAGACATATCTATAACACATTCGACAATACTACCTGACTCCGCAAGGCAGTCATTGCCACCTCTGTTTCCCAGGAAGCTCCAGACCCTCTACAAAGATGTGTTTCTGATCGGTATATATACTCAAAATAATCGCAGTATTGTGCGGCGAGAGCTAGCAACAAAACACGGAATGCTAACTGGTGGCGCATGAAGGCAAATTGCAGAAGCTTTGAAATTTGGAATTTTTAAAACGCTCGAATTTTTTTTGGAAATTTTGACATTCTTTCAAAAGATTTAAAAAATTTAGATTCTTGAGAATTTCGAAATTTTTGACAAAATTTGTCTTTTTGAAAATTTTGAACCGGTTTCAAAGTATTCGCACTGCGTAGCTGTTTTAGAGATAAAATATCGAAGCGCGTAAGCGCCACATCGTTGTCTAACAAATAAAGATTAGTACGGAACCCATTGAAATATAAATAAAATTTGTACTTATTATTAAAATCTCTATAAAATATCTAATAACTGTATGTGCCAAATAGCTTTTTTTTTTTAACTTCCCGTAGGGCAAGTTATAGTAATGGGCCAAAAATCGAAAATGAAAATTTTTGCATATCTTCACGTTTCAGGGGTTTCTGAACATTTTGGGAAACCTCAGAAAAAAATGAATGTATTTGTGCATGTTTGGAGACAATTTTTCGTCGATATCGGGCGCACGGATTATCCGATTTGAATGGTTCAAAAAACATTCGAACTCTAGTGGTGACGAGACGTGCTGATAAGTTTTTGACGAAGAGAGATCCAGAGGCATCCGAGATAAATAGTAAAACGTGTTAAAATGTCAGTTTTTAAGTGAACGGATCAACCGATTTGAATGATCCAAAAAACATTCGTAATGATGGGTAGAAGTGATGATTAAATTTTGAATGAGGCAGGTCCAGCCGTTTCGGAGATATAGAGCTAAATGTGCAAAAATGGCAGTTTTTGAGAGAACTAAGCATCCGATTTGAATGATTTTCTAAATTTACTTACTGCGTGTGTTGGCAAAACAATTGCTTTTGGAAAAAAATATTTTAATTTTTTTTTTCAAAATTTTTTTAGTATATAGAAAATAATTCAGATTTCAATTCTAATTCTTGCTAAAGTTCTAAGGCTCACTTATTAGGTTGTCAAATATCTCCCTTCCGCCTTTTTGTATTTTAAACCAAGAGCAAAAAAGCGGAAAGGAGATATTTGACAACCTAATATATACTTTAAATAAATATAATTATATAATTCTTATAAATATTAGACAATGTTATAATAAACTATTCGAAAACATTTAGTATTCCTCGAACATGTCGTTACAGTACGAGAAGTTTCAGCAATTAGCCTTAAGGCACGATGCCATACACCACTAGTTGCTTTTTTTATTGGATCTCCGAAACCGCTGGATCTGCTTTCAACAATTTTGCGATTTTATCAGATTTTTCATATTTCATTTTTATATATAAGTCCAACATTTAAATTTCTTTATATAAATTATCATAAATCTACAAACAAATTAATTCAAACTAACGTTTTTATTCATCATGCCGTAACCGCTGCCAATTATAGAGAAATATGACAAAGCTAAATCTTCTTAAAATTCGGAATAATGATATCAATTGAATTATTATTTCCAATATAAAAACGTAGTATTTCTATCTTTGAAAGACGTATTTAACATTTCATTCGATAGCAAATATTGATTTCTTATTCAACTCACAGCGATAAAGCGCGCTGCATTTTTTCATTTGAGCAATAAAATAATATATCGTTCAATGAACGCAAAACTTTATACAAATATGCGATTGTAGAGTTTATGAATTTTATGCCTATTGTTGCATTCCCGTCTTATAATAAATTTTCATCTTTGAACATATATTCTATTGTGTTTGTGAATCATCGTTGAATGGCTATTAATAACATTTGTGATTGGAAGATTTATTGAGAATATTGTGTATGGAATTAACGACTAATGTGTGTAGTATGAGATTTCATTATAATCATTCAGCTGGACTTGTTTTCAATTGTACTCTATGAAAAAACATTTAAGGTTCCAGAGAAGAAGTTTATGTTATCGCGAGAAAATGTTATCTGACAATTTTGTTTTCTCGACGTTTCAAATTATTCTGAATCGAATGAGACCAAATTTGAAAAAAGTAGGTGTGTATGTGTATGTGAGCCAATTTTTTACTATTTGTCGATGTTTGCAAAAACGGCTGAACCGATTTAAATAATTAGAATTAGCAGAAAAGTGCAAACATTTTTGTATTTAAAATCGTTTGTGACAAAAAGACTCCATTATTTATATGATATGATGGATCAGAATTTCACTATCAGTGAAATCAGAATTATTATAATACTTACATTATATCTACATTATGCAACTATTGTTTAATTATTTTTTATGCGAGATTATAAATAAAAATGTATCATATTTTAAGTTTAAATTACCTATGCTATTTTGTATTTCAATGTTTTGTTTTGTTGTTTTCATCATATACTCATACATGATTAAAAAAAACTTTGTTTATGCTACTAAAATAAAGCAAATACTTTCTTGTAGATAAAAAACGCGAAATGTTTGCATTAATATTTTGCGATTACTAATAAAATTTTATAAGTTTACCGTTGCAATACATTTTGAATATAAGACAAGTACATTTTTGTTTTAGAATGATATTTTTTTAAAGCAGCTTGAACTGGTGATATTTGCATACGAATATGATTCCATTTCCATGTATAAATAAATTAATTAATACAAATATAATTGATTTTTTACAAAAATATTTTTAAGGATATGGAAATATCCATCAAATTATAAAATTATGAAAAAAATGTCGTTTCAAATATTTGTTGTTACATAAAACATTTTATATAGGTCAAATAAAAAAACTAGACCTCAACCGATTAATTAATTGGGTGTACTATATAAGTTAAGCCGTGTTCAAAAAGTATGAATAATGTAACACATGTCATAGATTATCATCCTAAATATCGACATTTCATGAATAATCCATGAAATAACAGGATGAGACTTTGTCCGATTTATTAGTCAACTATAGAAATTATCTTATTTTGTTCCGGTGGCTGTCGATTGCTCAATTTGCCGCAAGTACACGTGGTTGAAATTATTTAATTGTGATTTATCATCAAAGCGAACAATTATCAGACATTAACTATTTGAAAAAAGGTTAAGTTATATAATCTTTTTTAATTATAAAGTTTTTTAAATCAAATGCCAATCAAACAATGAATGCAAAATAGTATTCAACTATCGATAAAGTCATGGTCAATTGGGACTATGTCATTTGGGATTTTGCTAAATAAATCGTCAAACCAGTTCTTTGATTTTCTTTTCAAATGTCTTATATAGAACATAACACGTATATTAAATCAATTGTAATAGTATATCTAATTTATGAAAGAGTGTAATACCTGAGGGTAAAAATCTTAAGGCAACATCCTGAAAATGTGCACTATACTATGCAATGAAATACATATTTCTAAATTAAATTGAAAAAAAGGATGCAAATTAAAATGCATTGAAACCAATTTAAAATTAAGTATCTTATTATCGATAATAAACACTATTTCAGTGGTTTTAAAAATGTTTTATAATTTAAGTTTTGTAATTTATAATTTACAAAATGCAAGATACAAATAAAAGTTGTAAATTAGCCTTTTTTAATGAATTGGTAATTTCAAATTTTTTTACACTGACAACTTAACCTGTTCTATATGAATTATTTAAGTGATTCATAAAACTACATTTTGAGTTTCTACTAAATAAGATGAAAGATTCGATTAAATGTTAAATTCAATTAGAAATTTAAATAGAAAATTTTACAAGACTAAAAAAAGTCTATTAAATACTATCCAAATACAGTTCGTATCAGAACTTGAATTTAATTGAGATAATTATTGATTTATTGTTTAATGTATATAAAATAAAATAAAATTCATTAAGTTTTATCTAAATTTATTTTTATAATTTCTAAAAGAAATTATAAATAAATAAAATATCAATTATTTTAGTCTGAAATGTAGATTTGACGCAAATATATTTATTTCTTCGTAACTTTCGCAAAATTTTATTTGTCTAGTTTTACGACCGCGCAAAGCCAAACTGATGGACAGAGTTTATACAAATTTGATTTTCTTAATATGTTGAATATGTATCATCAAATTAAAATCAACTAGAACAAAAATCCGTGCCAAAAATTGCTTTTACTTGTCGTCTCGCTATTAACAATTTAGGCATTAATCTTACTAGGATCAAAATGTTGATATATTTCTTAAGTTGGCATCTACAAATTTTCGACTTTATGTTACAATCCTTATCCATCTGATATGCCACATTTTTGCTAAACTTTGTACTAGTACAAAATCTAATAGTTTTCGGTACTTCTGCTACTTTCTCCCATTTATATTGAGACAAGCATTTTTCGATTATGTAAAATGTGATAGTATTTTTTTTTTCAAAATTTGTTAATGAATTTATTAGTTTTTGAATAACGAACTAACTACTTGAAGAATTTGGCAATCTTTTGACTTGTCGTTGCTCAAATAGGTAAACCCATTCATTATTTACTATTGACTTCACACACTACCCAGAACTTTTCTCTAAAGTCTGGTTCATTTGGTATATTTTATATAAATGTAGGCCATTATGATGAAAACAATTCTCTAAATTGCATTATTTTCCACCAGTCAAACTGACCGACCGCGGTAGTTTAGGCCACATAACAAATTTTTTTCAGAAAATAGAAAAAATAACTAAAATCAAAAAGTGAGGAAAATATTATTAGTGTACCCTAGGAATTATCATATAGTTTGATAATGGTATTTGAACGCTTAAAAATGTCTAATAATAAGTTATATGCGATATTTGAAACGCTCAATTTGACCGGCCTTGGTAGGTTTAGTGTTAATATAACACAATCAAAATTATTTGATGTATAATATAGCCGTTAGATCATAAAACTAGTTATAATTGCAATTATCTTACTTCGTTCCTGTGGGGTCCAATGGGTCCTTAGTGTAGCCCCGTTTACAGGTGCACGTGTCGGGTCCGGTGCATTCGCCGTTGAGGCACGGGCGGGAGCAAAATGCAACGCAGTTCTTACCCGTGGCGTCCAACTCCATACCAGGGTTACAGACACATACATCGGGCGCCGCGCAATAGCCGTTTACACACCCACTAAAAATCGATGTAAATAGTTAGAACTAGATATTTTTTTAGTACGAGAAAAGTTTGGAATGACACCGTTAATATGTATTTTTCAAATTATAATATCTACTTTTATTCTTGACCATTGCGATAGAAATTATTTTAATTATTAATTAATTCCTCCATTTTTATTAGTAGTTACAACTTACAATTACAAGTAATACTTTTGTATACTTATTATTTTCTTACTTTGGTAATAAATAAAATCAAATGCCAAAAGTATGCCAAACTTCATATTTCATCTATGAAACATTAATAAATATATTTTATAAACAATTAATAAATTCAAGATATTTTGAGACAACGTTAAAATATTGTATTATGTTGTTAACAAAATACATATTAACATTAATTCTAATCATAGCTTCTTTTTTTCTTGAATTTTCTTGAATCATTTTTAGAAATTTATATATGTCATTATTATATTTATTATTAGTTTATATTTATACTTATATGGAAAGCATTACCAAACTTCATTTTAATTTTATGTACTTTAATGAAACAAAGCATTTTAGTCGACGTTGATGAAACAATTTCGATAGAACATATTATGTAGTAAATATAATTAATATTTGTTTGATATGTATTTTCATCAAGGATAAATAGGCGTAGAAATATACTATTATAACACCACGATTCTCTTTGCATATAAACTAATACAAATGATCCAGAAAATTTCTAGTAATATTTAAAATGATACAAATGCAGTAGAGTATCATATGATAACGGCAAATTATTAATATTGGCCAACCGATTGAAATTTAATATAATGTACAATTCAGTTGTTATTTTGGTCAAATAGTTGTACGAACATGTCGTCGCGATATTTAATTAGAAATACAATTAAAAACTAGTTTTGTAGGAATTTGAGCTATGAAGTGAATTGCTGGATTAGAGAAAAAAATGATTTAAATTTTTTAATGAAAGCTATCAATAACTGAATATAAATAATAATCACTATTAATAATCAAAATTGTATATTTTAGAAAGAAATATTTAGAAATAAAAATACAATTAGAATAAATATAATAATTATAAGATAAATAAAATGCAATTAAAATAAATATTAAATCAAAGGTTTTGATCAAAAATTTAGAAAAAAAATTGGTTTTATACATGACCAAAGTTTTATGTTTTTGATTGTACATTTATCGAATTTTTTTCTTCTTTAATATAAAATGAAAAAGTTTCATTATTTCATAATCATATATGTTTCTGAATTTTAGGGAGCAATTTTTCTACAAAATAGTTAAGGTAACGCTATGTTACGGGTCTACCTTATATGAATTGGTAGAAATAATTTGTCAACTATGTATTTTCTGTGTGATCAGGAGTTTCATATATAAAACCTAACTTTACGTATGTGTTATGAGACATCAGAAAGATGCATTTCTGATATAATAGTTATTTGACGTAAATAATGATATAATTGTTATTTGACGTTCATGAGTTTTGTAAGTTAGGTTCTATGTGTGAAACTACTGATTACTTAGAATTACTTTGACTACTTATTACTTCGAATTCTTACGAAGAATTACTAATTACTATTAATAATATTTCTATTGTATCGCAGATTTGTCCTCTTATATTATATTATTTTATTTTAGTTGAACTCTTTTTGTTTCGTTTGCTTATTTTCATCGTTTGTTAAATCATTTTTTTAGTTGATTTCTTATTAAATTATTCACAATGGCAAACCATTTTTAGGGTTAAAAGTTTTAAGTTTCAAACTTAAACCGTTAGCTTTTCATTCTTCATTCAGCGCTCGAAGCGAACACATCGATTATACAATACCTGAGTACAATCAACAAGCATAATAAACAGCATTTATTTAGTCACAGTTTAGTGTAGTGTTTGATCTAGTAAGTGACTTTACTTGTGAATTCAGTGCTTTTTAATTAAATATAGTGCTCCCGTCAGGGAGTACTATAAATTATCACTCCACAATACCAATTGTGGAATCATTTAACATCATTCACGAAGACCAAAATAATTCTACTCAACTAGTTCTGAACCAGATGACTACAAAAAGAAATAACGATGATGCAGTAAACAGATCAACATCGTCGGATCCAACTCCCATTCCATCAACAAGTAATTTGTCTTCAATAGCAACAATGGATCCAGAGTCCACTGCACGCGATGTGATTGATTACACGAATAAAAACCCATGGCAAGAGGTAACTTCCGCTAAAAGACGTCGCCCGAACAACGCAGTAAGTAATGAAAGCGTTCCCATAAAATTAGCCAACAAATTCAGCGCTCTAGAAAACAAAGTTTCTAAACCATCAGACGAGGCAACAGATAATAAAAAATCTACTCCTCCGCCTTTATTTGTCTACGGGGTTCGAGATTACAATCTTATGATAGCGGATATTAATTCAATTATTAATAAAAACAAATACATCACTAAATACCTACCCAATAAAACTATTAAATTCAACATTTTTGAAATAGAAGACTACCGCAATTTTGTTAAATTTCTGCGTGAAAGAGACGTCGTTTTTCATACCTACCAGATAAAAGCGGAACGCTCATACAGGGTTGTACTCAAATATCTGCACTACGCCACAGATAAAAATGATATCAAAGCCGCAATTGAAAAAGAAGGTCATCCTGTCAGAAATATTACTAATATCATACATCCGAAAACTAAACAACTGCTGAACATGTTTTACATAGACTTAGAACCCAAAGAAAACAATTCGTCAATTTTTAAAATGAATAAAATGTTAAACCAAATAATTCATTTTGAGCCCCCAATAAGATCATCTAATATTCCGCAGTGTGTAAGGTGCCAAATGTACGGCCATACCCAGCGTTATTGCAACCGCAGATTTATATGTGTAAAATGCGGCTCTGATCATGAGTCTAAAAAGTGTACAAAAGCAGCTGAAGCCCCGCCCCTTTGTTATCATTGCGGCGATAATCATACCGCAAACTACAAAGGGTGTTCTTACTACCTTCACCTTGTCGGTGCAGATAACGATCAAGCAACAATAGGCAGAAGTAACGGGACTTATTTACACACAAATGCAAACCGGTACAAATCCAACCTACACAACAATAGAATTTCTCAGTACGCAAATCCTCAGCATATGTCTTATGCTCAGGTAATAAAATCGCAATCAAACCTATTTAACAACAATCAAAATCACATTAACAACAGTAATTCTCCATCGATGTCTGATTTCCTGACTGAATTTAGAAATATGTTTAGCCAGTTAATGGAACAAAACACCATGATTGTCAAAATGTTATCAACATTAATCAACATTAATAAAGCTAAATAATGGCTAATATTTTAAACTTAGGATTATGGAATGCTAACGGCTTGTATCAACACAAAGCCGAAGTAGAATTATTTTTGAGACACAACAATATCGACATCTTTTTAATTAGTGAAACACACTTCACCAAGTATTCAAACTTTTATATACCAAATTACAAGACATACTTCACTAACCATCCCGATGGCACCGCACATGGTGGGACTGCCATTATTGTAAAATCTAATCTTCTTCATTACGAACTGGATAAATACGAATCTGAAATTTTGCAAGCCACATCAATTTCATTAAAAATGAATTCATTCAACTTATGTGTTTCTGCAGTCTATTGTCCGCCGAGGCACAATATAACCAGTTTACAATTTCAAGATTTTTTCTCTACACTAGGTAGTCATTTCATCGCCGGCGGAGACTACAACAGCAAACACGTCAATTGGGGCTCAAGATTAAATAATCCTAAAGGAAAACAGCTATATGATACAATACATAAACTCAATTATAGTGTTCTTTCTTCAGGTTCCCCCACCTACTGGCCGAGCGATCCTGCCAAAAAACCAGATCTATTGGACTTTTTTGTATCATCGGGTATAAGCTCAATTCACAAGGAAGTACGAGCAAGCTACGACTTATCATCTGACCATAGTCCAGTAATAGCCAGCATAAGCACTTCGGCAAGTATTTTTAAACCCTCCTCTAGGATCTGCAACCATAAAACAAACTGGGACATCTACCGGAAGTTCGTAGAAGACAAAGTTAACCTCAAAGTTAAACTTAAAAATTCCGCTGATATCGAAAACACCATCGATTCCTTTAATACTCTTCTATACGATGCTGCAAAGTTTGCTACTCCTACTCCTGTTACGACAGAAAACTCCTGCCAGACAACAACATATGAAATAAAAAGGCTCATAGCAGAAAAAAGAAAAGCTAGGCGTAGGTGGCAACATAGTCATTTGCCCACAGACAAAAACATTTTCAATAATCTGAGCAACAAGTTGAAAGCAAGGTTAAAGGAACTCAATCAAGTGAGATTTAATAACTATGTATCCAGTTTGAATCGTTTTGACAATTCTATCTGGAAACCCGTCAAAAATAAACTTAAACCTAACTTTCAAAATCCTCCAGTTCGTATGGATACCCAGACCTCTGCATGGGCAAGAAGTGACAAAGACAAAGCAGATATATTTGCGAATACTTAGCTACAGTTTTTCGGCCTAACAATTTATCAAATTATAATGTCAACATTAGTCCTGCTTTAGACCATAATAGCAGTCACGAAAGCGAGAAACGTTTCTTGTCTCTCAAATTAGTAGTTAGTGAAATAAAGAAAGTTAAAGCAAAAAAATCGCCTGGAATAGACCAAATATCTCCCAGAATGCTCAAAGAATTGCCTGTAAAAGGATTCATTATAATCACCTATATCTTCAACGCTATTGTGAGACTTGACTACTGGCCAAATCAATTCAAGACCTCTTTAATAAAGATGATTCCAAAAACTGGCAAGGATCAACACTTAGTCACATCTTATAGGCCAATCAGCCTTCTTCCTATATTGTCAAAAATTTTAGAAAAACTGTTACTACAAGATATTTTGAAGGAATCCAATATCTTCCCTGATCACCAGTTTGGATTTCGTAAAGAGCACTCAACCATACAGCAGTGTCACAGGATTGCCAGTCA